TCTCACGCTTAAAATGTTTTTTTTTTGGTGGCGGTCACCACAGCAAGGAGGGTGTGTGAACTGGAAGCCCTGTCGGTCAGGGCGCCTTACTTGCAAATTTTTCTGGATAGGGTGGTGTTCTGGACGGACCCATCCTTTGTTCCGAAGGTGGCCCAAAAATTTCAGAGGGAACAGGCTATAGTTTTGCCCTCATTTTTCCCTAATCCAGTAGGGGAAAGTCAAGAGAAATTTCATTTCTTAGATGTAAGAAGGTGTGTGCTCCTTTACCTAGATAGGACTAAGGAATTTCGAAGCACAGAGTCATTTTTTATTTCTTTTGCGGGGGTGAGAAAAGGGAAAAAAGCCTCCAGGTGCACAGTAGCTAGATGGTTAAAGCTAGCAATTGAACAGGCATACCGAACCGAGGGTCTAGAAGTCCCGGAAGGAATCGGGGCTCATTCCACACGGGCCGTGGCAGCAACTCAAGCTGAACTGGCAGGAGCCTCCCCGGAACAGATTTATAGGGCAGCAACCTGGTCCAGTTATGGGACGTTTGTGAAGCATTACAGACTTGACTTGGTCTCGGAGCAGGCCTTCGGACGTAAGGTACTGCAAGCAGTGAGCCCGCCTGAGGGGTAAGTACTCGTTCATCCTCTCAAGGTACTGTCCTGAAAGACGAAGGGGGAAAACCAAAGTTACACTTACGGTAACATCTTTTCCAGTAGTCTTTCAGGACTGCACCGGTTACCCACCCTTTGTGGCAGAATTGTATATGAGATGTCTTACAGTATGTTCTGTTGTCTCATTATGTCTCACCCAGGTGACCAGAGGTGCGTTTCCAGGAACAGAGGTCGGAGGGGAGTGATAGGCTTTTTGTTTAGGGTGGAGGAGCCGAGGTCGCTCAAGGTGCTGTCCTGAGACTACTGGAAAAGACGTTACCATAAGTGTAACTTTGATTTTTTTTTTTTTTTAAATAGAAATGTGTAAACTATAATAGCTAATTAGTTCTGTTTGGATGCAAAGAGAGTGGCACAATCACATTCAGTGCCCAGACCAAAACATTGATTGTATGGATTGACTTATCATTTGGGGCTTGTATACACTAATGAAAATGTTGCCTTTGTGTCCATTTTGTCACCCCTAGGCTTGAAGAAGACTGTCAGACTGATCCCTTCTCAAACATTCATTTTTAACGTGGAAAAAAAAAGTACATGTGTATCTGTTATCTTTATTTACAAAATGTCAAGGTAAAAAAAAAAAAAACTGTACAAAAGGAGGAATTGACATCCTGCCGTGCTGTTTACGTTCAACAGTTTGTTGGAGGTATATGATTAAATAAACATTACGTTTCAGAAGAATTTCTGTGTGTCTTCTGTAGAAGGCTAACATCTGTTTATTGCTCCAGCATTCTTATGAACCAGCTCAAGCTATACTTCCACTTCGAGGTAGGACAAAACTGGCTTCATTTCTGAACATGGTGGAAAGCGCAAAATGGTGAATAGCACACCATGACCAATAGAGGCTAAACTTTGTTAATCTGCTGTAAGTATTAAAGGATAAGTGCACCTCCTCCACAAATGCAGTCTATGGTATTTGTTGAAATCCATCCAGCCCCACAAGTCTCTCGGCTCTGGCTGCGCCTGCGCATTACAGTGCCATAGACATTTACAGGCTGTAATCAGAGACAAAAGGGAGATGGCTATGATGTAAACAAACATGGAAGGCCACCTGATGGAGAAAAGTATGCAGCTATGGGTTAGGGCAAGCAGTATAAGTGCACTTATCCTTTTAGGCAATTTTGTGCTACAAGTTTTAAAACTCATGGTTGCTCCTTGCACTGGGCTTTGCAATGCTATAAACAAACTGGGCTATGGGAGTGGAAATTATGTTCTAGATACACAATGGGATATGAAAGTACAAAATTCACACAAGGCTGAATGAAGTGTTTGGACACACACCACAATAAAAATAGGTAGCTGTACTTTAAGATCTAATTAGAACATGCAACAGATGAAAAATATGAATTCCTGAGCAGTCTAATTCACATTTAAATGTTGACTGGTAAAAATCCCCACTGAGGGGACCTGTACAAGGTAATGGTGCAAAGCTCTGGTTTCATCCTGAAACCTTTCTACACCACTGTAGAGCAAGGTGCTGGCAGCTTTTACAATGAACCTGTTAATGCCTTAAGGGTTCCCACTAACCGTACTACAAAACTGAGCATACACCTTGTGATAGAGTACCTGCATTCATTTTCAAATGAGTATATCATCTAGGCTAGACAGAGCTTTGACCTTTCAAGTCCTGCCATTTTAGTGGCCATAGTTAAAAGCCATTGGCCTTTACAACAAAAGGTAACACATTTAACAACGGTTCACACTATGAACTGCATGTTAATTGTGCAGGAACCATACTGCATTCCAGGCCAAGTGGACAAATTCCTTTTGAATGGACTAATCACACCACAGCCATACAAGCACCTTTTTTTGGAGTCCTACCCCAGCTGGATTGCATGGTCGCTTTGCACTATGCAATCCGGCACAGACAAATCCACTGTTTGGGGGTGGTGTTAACTTTGTATTGACACCCACAGCAGATCACAAGGGAAACTTGCACAGGTGGTGGCATTTCCTACAGCATTAGTGTGAACCTAGGCTTAGAAAAATCTTATAAAGCTGCAACTCTGGCATTTACCAAAAACTAATTGTGGGTGAATCTTCCAGCAGCATGTTTAAGCAGTTGCCCACCGCCCTCTAGTAGAAGTACTGCTACAGGGCTGCGCAAAGTCACGTGTGTGTGTGTGTGTATATATACACGATTTGCCTTTCTGGGTAGGAGGTGCCTGTGCCACCACTGGAAGCTAGGGATGTCAATCACTGAGCCCCAGACAGAGATTCCCCAGCTATCACCGTGTAAAGTTGACAGAGAAAAGACCTGTATAAATGCCACAGAGCTCTCTCCTGCCAGCAAGGACATGCTGCTTTGCACAGCAGGAAAAATACAAAGCAGCATGTCTCCATAGTGAAATACAGTTAACCCCTTCCCACCCAGTGTCAGAATGCCCACCGCTATTACTAGTATAAAATAAAAAATCCTAATATATATACTGCCAGCTGTAAATGCACTTTTTTACATATATTGGGATTTTTATTTTTTTCTGCAAACACATTTAGCAGAATACATTTTGGCCTAAATGACAATTTTATTTTTTTTTTATTTTTATTGGATGTTTTATAGGAAAAAGTCAAATATATATATATTTAAAAAAAAAAAAAACCGCAGAGGATTATCATGGCTGCGCAATGTTAAAGTAATGCAGCACCATATCACAAAAAATGGCCTGGGGGGTCTGGAGGGTAAGTGGTTAAACAGTAATTGATTCACCACCAGTGAAAATCAAATTTAGGGCTTTAGAACTAGATCCCAGCCAGAAATAAAAGCTCTAAGTCTTAGGGAATATTAGGATCCGGTACAAATGGATTGTAGGTTTAATGTAGGCACCTACACTTCAGTAACATTTAAAGGCAAAGTTCACCTTTAAAAAGTTGCACATTCAATCCCCCCCCCTTACTCAAGCTAGTGGGTACAATCAGCAGATCACAGGTGCAATACCAGGCTTCTGCAGTCTTCCACTAGTTTTGTGCCCATATCCCCATTCAGGCTGTTACAAAGCTAGAGGAAGAACAAATGAATTATGAGCATCACACACAAACCCAAGTCCATCTGCCCCAGTAGCATTGAGTAGTTGTAGCTTAAGTCACAGGAAGCTGTAGGAGGAGCACCACACTTTGACAAGTGCAGAGAGAAGATCCCTCACCTACTGTCACAGAGAAGGGAGTGCTGGCAGCTTCACAAGTTGCACCCTACACATGGGTGTAACATGCGCCTAAAGGGGAACTTATCCTTTAAGCTCTAAAAAGGTACATTTTAAAAAGCAAAAAGCCAGCATCAGCTTGTATGGGAACAAACTTGAAAGCTCTCAAAACTACCTAGTCAATTATAGGCCCTTTTCCACTGGTCTTTATAAGAACCTAGGTATTAGAGATGCTCATAAGTACTTAAAGCTATAACCAGATGAGAAGCTAGAACAAAGGCTGTTTCTATCCCCAGTGAAAAAGGGGTCTGAACTGTGCCTATTCCCACCTCTGGCAATTGTTCCCCATAGTTGATGAGTGCAAAGCCGGACCAAAAAAAAAAAAATCTCAAACAGACCACATGCAAAACAGCCTTAATCCTGCACCTTTTTACCTTGTACTGCTCTGGTTATGTAAAGCTTAACTCCACCTTTAATGTCTATTACAATAGCACATTTGGGCCATTTATGTACTCCACTAACAGGTGCACTTGCTGGACATACCATATACAGCACTGTGTTCCAGAAGTAGGATGGGGACTTTCCAGCACCAGAGTATTACTCCTCCATTCATGGGAAAACTATATTCTATGAACAATTATAACACTTCCGCTAGGAATGGTATAGAAACACTTTGTCCCACTGCTATATATTTTGTATAGCTAAGGCTACATACAGTATGCCTAACAAGTGCACATTAGTACCATAAATAGTTGGCATAGACCAGCTTAGCCCAAACAAACATTAAACATGAAATCTATTAGTTTCATCACCAGATTCCATTCATCAGCACTGCTAGAATGGAAGAGAACATCCCCACTGAGTTCTAACCTTGACACTACTACAATATTCATCTCTATAAATCTTCTGAAATTTCATGGACAAATGCTGAAGCATTAACTGTTAGTTACATAAATACAAGCACTTAGTGCTTAAACTATAACTGTCAAATGCACACAGCACCAGCTTTGCATTTGTATACAATTCCTCGTCAGTCAAAGACTGAAGCAAGGCAGTGTGGAGAATGCAAGTGTCTTGCAATAAAATTGACATCAAAATCCCATTTGGTAACATTGCATAACATAGTCTCAGCCCTGGGTTGGACAGTCAAGAGTCAGACGGAAGATATTTTTTTTTTTTTTTTGCATCAGCTAGAAAGTGCAATTGTTCATTGTGGGCTATAAGCTCCAGCAGCCAGAAGAAGGTTTCGTCGTGTGAAATGAAGATGAATAACAGAAGTAGATTTTGTCATGTAGGAGCCAAGGAGAAGTTCTTGAGAATTTTCCATGAAATTTATATGTCCTGTAGCACTTGTGAAGTCATCAGTTTCCAAATCTTCAAAGGCTTTTATTGCATCCCATAAACAAATAGTATTGTCCATAGAACCTAAAGAAGAAAAAAAAAAGTAACATTTTAATTTTACTCCAATTACATGTACAAAGAATGAAATATTATGTATGGTTTACTATACTCACTACAGAAAAGTTGATGCTAAAACAGTTCTGCTCCTGAACCATCTACAATGTTATGCAGAAGTTCACTGAATTTTACAAATTGTAAAAGTTCAAATCCTTTATAGCACGTCAACCACAAGGCCTGCAGGGCCAAACAAACCTGCCAGGCTATTAGATATGACTCTTACACCTCTCCTGTAGCTGCAGCACCCCCCATCTCTGCCCCACCTTGTCTCAGTAGTCAGCAGCAGAGCAAATAACTAACTACACTACTGCACTTCTGTAAAGCTACAACACCCTCTCATCTCTGCCTCCCCTGGTCTCAGCATTCAGCAGACTTCAGCCCTCCTCCACACCCTGCACTTTCTGCTCCCAACTCCACCCCCAGCTTTTTGCCAGGAGCAGCAGCACAAAGTAAGGGATGGTGCACTAATGTAAAGGTGGGTGGAGGATCCTTGACTTCAGAGGGTTAGTCTCTTGCCATCCGACCTATAGTTATAAGAATACTTCATTGCTAGTTGAAGAAGGTTGCATACCGTTTATGTCATCCACAAGAAATTTTATTGGAGACTACTCCAATAGAACAGCATGGCAGAACCCTGTTCTGAGCAGTCCCCAATAAAGTTTCTTTGTGGATGATACCAACAGTTCATGACCTTCCTTTTCAGAGCTGCATCAACTGCTACAGGAATGAGTAGTCTCTGTTCCGGTCTGCACCTACACTTCTCAGCTTAAGGCTTAGGTTCTTGCTAAAACCCATAAAAATCAGATGCACAGGCATTATGAAGGGGGATTGTTTGGTCCCAGAAACACATTGGCTTTCTTCCTTTTTCCTCAATTATATCAGCAATGGATGAATTCTTTAGATTAAAAGGTAAGCTGCAGCCATTCAGTCATGAAGTTAAAACAATGCCTCCTGGCTGACAAAATAAGCCCAAAGCCTCACCTTTACTTGGCTATTGTATTCAGACAGCCACAGCATCAGCTGTCTGAACACAGTAGTGACTCACAACTATAAATGTATCAGACTTCATTTTGGATGAGCCACCTCCTCCATCTCACGGGACAGCTGCCTCTGTACTAAACAAATCCACATTGCAATTGCATTGAAATACTCTTGAGACATACCTGATGCTAAAATTTCTCCATCTCGGCTAAACTTAAGTGCATAGATTGTGTTAGTGTGACCCTTTAATTCTCCAACCATCAAACCGTGACCAATATCCCAAAGCAAGACTCTGCCATCTGTGCCTCCACTAGCCAGAAACTTTCCATTTGGAGTAAATGTTAATGCATGAATAGGTCCCTGCAGGGGAAAAAAAAAAAAAAAGTGTTATGGAAAATAAAGGCATAATACTCAGTTTAATATTTTATACTATATACACCCACGTCAAAATAATTATTTTATCCCCTGCAGATTTTGTAAGTCTTCCCACGTGCAAAAGAAATTAAGGGTCTATAATTTTTATCATAGGTGTATTTTAAAAGTGATAGAGACAGAATATTAAACAAAAATCAAGAAATAAAAAAAAAAAAAAAAAACCCACACAATTTCTATAAATGGAGTTGCATTTCAGTGAGTAAAATTTGATCCCCTACTAACCAACATAAATTCTGGCTTCCAGACTGGCTATGTGCTCATGTGGTACACAGATTAGTCCTGTCAAATTTAACTGCTTGCCCACTGCTCTATAGTAGAAGTACTGTGGCAGGGCTGTGCAAAAAATAAATAAATAAATCACATATAACTATGGCTCTCTATCTATACCATCACACAATGGTCATTTGGGAAAGCTGACAGGAGAGAGACCTGTGTGTAAACTCAGGTCTCTTTCCAGTCAGCAAGAACATGTTGCTTTGTATTTTGCTGCACAGCAGGGAAATACAAAGTAGCATGTCTCTGTAGTAAAACCACAAACACAGCACATAATGTGAAACACACACAGCACTCAGTTAACCTTTTGATCGACACAGATGTTATCACCTTCCTGCCCAGTGTCATTAGCACTGATCACTATTAGTGTCACTGGTGATCCCAGTAGCAGGTAGTTCCCACCCAGTGTCAGAATGCCAACCACAGTCTTGAGATAGATTATATAGATCATTATACAGATCTATATATACACACACACACACACATTTATATATTACACACATACACACACTATATTGCCAAAAGTATTGGGACGCCTGCCTTTACATGAACTTTAATGGCATCCCAGTCTTAGTCTGTAGGGTTCAATATTGAGTTGGCCACCCTTTGCAGCTATAACAGCTTCAACTCTTCCAAGAGTGCTGTCCACAAGGTTTAGGAATGTGTATGGGAATGTCTGACCATTCTTCCAGAAGTACATTTGTGAGGTCAAGCACTGATGTCGGACGAGGAGACCTGGCTCCCAATCTCCACTCTAATTCATCCCAAAGGTGTTCTATCGGTTGAGGTCAGGACTCTGTGCAGGCCAGTAGAGTTCCTCCACCCCAAACTCGCTCATCCATGTCTTTATGGACCTTGCTTTGTGCACTGATGCAGTCATGTTGGAAGGGGCCATCCCCAAACTGTTCCCACAAAGATAAGAGCATGAAGTTATCCAAAATGTCTTGGTATGCTGATGCCTTAAGAGTTCCCTTCACTGGAACTAAGGGGCCAAGTCCAACCCCTGAAAAACATCGCACACCATAATCCCCCTCCACCACACTTTACACAATGCAGTCAGGGAAGTACCGTTCTCCTGGCAACCGCCAAACCCAGACACATCGATTGGATTGCCATACAGAGAAGCATTAATAGTCACTCCAGAGAACATATCTCCACTGCTCTAGAGTCCAGTGGCGGCGTGCTTTACTTTGCATTGCACTTGGTGATGTAAGGCTTGGATGCAGCTGCTCGGCCATAGAAACCCATTCCATGAAACTCTCTCACACGGTTGTGCTAATCTGCATGCTACATGATGTTTAGCTATTTAGCTCTAGCTATTGAACCTGGCGACTTCTGCGCACTGTGCGCTTCAACATGCGCTGACCCCACTCAGTCATTATACGGCCTACCACTTCGTGGCCGAGTTGCTGTTCCCAATTGCTTCCACTTTGTTATGATACCATTAACAGTTGACTGTGGAATATTAAGTAGCAAGGAAATTTTATGGATGGACTTATTGCACAGGCAGCAATCACGGTACACTTCAATTCACTGATCTCCTGAGAGCGACCCATTCTTTCACAATTTTTTGTAGAAGCAGTCTGCAGGCCTAGATGCTTGATTTTATACACCTGTGGCCATAGAGATGATTGGAACACCTGAATCCAATGACTTGGAGGGGTGTCCTAATACTTCTGGCAATATAGTGGGGCAGCATAGTGGCTAAAGGTTTAGTACTTCCATCTGGCACTACAAGGGTCATTGGTTTAAATCCCAACCATAGTACCACCTGCCTGGAGTTTGCATGTTCTCCCTGTGCCCAAGTGGGTTTCTCCAGGTACTCCAGTTTCCTCCCACACTCCAAAGACATGCTGGTAGGTTAATTGGATCCTGTCTAAATTGGCCCTAGTACAGGTGAAACTCGAAAAATTAGAATATCGTGCAAAAGTTCATTTATTTCAGTAATGCAACTTAAAAGGTGAAACTAATATAGGAGATAGACTCATTACATGCAAAGAAAGATAGTTCAAGCCGTGATTTGTCATAATTGTGATGATTATGGTTTACAGCTCATGAAAACCCCAATCAACAATCTCAGAAAATTAGAATATTACATGCAATCAATAAAACAAGGATTGTACATAGAACAATATCGGACCTCTGAAAAGTATAAGCATGCATATGTACTCAGTACTTTGTTTGGGCCCCTTTTGCAGCAATTACTGCCTCAATGCGGCGTGGCATGGAAGCGATCAGCCTGTGGCACTGCTGAGGTGTTATGGAAGACCAGGATGCTTCAATAGCGGCCTTCAGCTCTTCTGCATTGTTCAGTCTCATGTCTCATCTTTCTCTTGGCAATGCCCCATAGATTCTCTATGGGGTTCAGGTCAGGTGAGTTTGCTGGCCAATCAAGCACAGTAATCCCAGGATCATTGAACCAGGTTTTGGTGCTTTTGGCAGTGTGGGCAGGTGCCAAGTCCTGCTGGAAAATGAAGTCAGCATCCCATAAAGCTTGTCTGTGGAAGGAAGCATGAAGTGCTCCAAAATCTCCTGGTAGATGGCTGCATTGACCCTGGACTTAATGAAGCACAGTGGACCAACACAGCAGATGACATGGCTCCCCAAAATCAACAGACTGTGGAAACTTCACCCTGGACTTCAAGCATATTGCAGTGTGTGCCTCTCCATTCTTCCTCCATACTCTGGGTCCTTGGTTTCCAAATGAGACGCAAAAGTTGCTCTCATCAGAAAAGAGGACTTTGGACCACTGAGCAACAGACCAGGTCTGTTTTTCTTTAGCCCAGGTAAGACGCTTCTGACGTTTTTGTTGTTCAGGAGCGGCTTGACAAGAGGAATACGACATTTGAAGCCCCATGTCCAGGATCCGTCTGTGTGTGGTGGCTCTTGATGCACTGACTCCAGCCTCAGTCCACTCCTTGTGAAAGTCCAACACTTTTGAATGGCCTGTTCCTGATAATTCTCCCCAGGCTGCGGTCATCCCTGCTGCTTGTGCACCTTTTTCTTCCACACTATTCCCTTCCACATAACTTTGTAATCTTTTGCAAATACCTTTTGAGGCGTTCCCTCCTTATGGAGGGTGTCAATGATGGTTTTCTGCACAAATGTCAGGTCAACAGTCTTTCCCATGATTGTGATTCCTACTGAACCAGACTGAGAGACCATTTAAAGGCTCAGGAACCCTTTGCAGGTGTTATGGCTTAATTAGCTGATTAGAGTGGGACACTTTGAGCCTAGAATATTGCAACTTTTCACAATATTCTAATTTTCTGATATTGTGGATTTGGAGTTTTCATGAGCTGTAAGCCATAATCACCACAATTATGACAAATCACAGCTTGAATTATCTTGCTTTGCATGTAATGAGTATCATATATTAGTTTCACCTTTTAAGTTACATTACTGAAAAACGTTTGCACGATATTCAAATTTTTCGAGTTTCACCTGTATGTGTAAATATGAAAATGTGAGTTAGGGACTTTAGATTGTACACTCCTTGAGGGTTAGGGACTGATGTAAATGTTATAAAGCTGCATAAATTGACGGTGCTATATAAGTACTTGAAATAAATAATGTATATCTGTCTATGGAGCTCTGAACAGCAAAGTGTTTTTCTAGATAGCCTAACCCAGAAAAAAAGGAAATGTATTTCTGCTTAGCAGTACTTAGAGGTGATCACAGCATTAGCTTTAGTTTTTCATTTTCATCAAGTGCAAAAAAAAAACAAAAAAAAAGTGGGACTTTTGACTTGACTGTATAATCAGTTTCTTGAAATACAGAAGAGGACACAGACAGGCATGTGTCCTGTACTGTATTCCAACAATTTTAAATGTTAAAAACAGGACCCAGGCAGATTCAGAGATTACTCAAATGTCCCAAAGCAAAACTAGTGAGGGCGGGCAGGCAAAACTAAAATTTCAACAAGCCCCCCGAAAACAAAAGGGTCCATGGTCTAAATCAAAACAGTAGCCTGAAGCACTTCTTGACCAAAGGCAATAATCAGTCAAAACCCAAACATCCACCCAGTATAAATTTGTAAATGCGTGAATGGAAGGCAAGGTGGTAGCCTTACAAATCTGCAACACAGAAGCCTGATGCTGGAAGGCCCAGGACACAGTGAGGCACCTGGTAGACTGTCCAAAAGGACAGGGTTCCTCCCTTTCTGGTAACAGCTCAAATAGGCCTGTACCACAACTTAAAGGATCCACCTGTAGCAATAATGAAGCAAATGCAGAAAGACCCCTGCAAAACCACTCAAGAAGCACAAGGAGGCAATCAATCTCACAGGCTGCAAGGTAGCCTGAAAGCTCAAACCACACCCAGAGTGTGAATCACCACCTTCTGAGTCAGCAGGACAAAAGAACTATGTCCTAAGTATAGTGAAAAAAAGAGACCTTGGGCTAAAGGATAAATTTTATCCTTGTGAACCACCAGGATGGGCTCCCAACAAGATAAAACAAGCCAGCTTCGACAACCTACTCCCATGGTGCCACCAGAGGATGTTTGGTATCAGTTAGTGAGACACCATCTGGCTCTTAATCACTCTCAGCCTAGATCTGGCAGAGCAGGCTAGGGGGAAACTTCAAAAGGGAGGAAACAGCATTTATCAGGGAGAACCGATTCCATGGAGTTTCCAGAGCATCCACTGCAAAGGTCCTCAGTTACCTTGTCCAAAAAAACACAAATCTTTCTGGTGTTTAGTTGAATGGTGAGATTAGGAGATCCACCATTGGTATCCAGTTTTCGATAAATGTCATTCATATCCATCTATCAACCTCTGGGTAAAAAGTCCAGTCACTGACAGAGGAGGAAGTATGCCTGCCAATTTTCCACACTCGAAATGTACAAAGTGAACAAGTCCAGAATGTGACTTTCTACCCACTGCAGAACTGGGTCGCATCTCTTTAAGCTGCAGAACTTACAGTCCCACCTTAGTGCTTGATGTCAGCCACAGTCATGGTGTTGTTGGAGTGCACCCGCGTTGGCAGTCTCTGAAGGCAGCTCGTCCAGTTCTGACAGGATGCTAAATAGCTCTATGATGTTGAATGGAGTCAGGATTCCCTGGCCGATAAAGTTCTCTGTAACGTGGCCGCCCTAATTAAGTACACCTTCCCTGATACAAGCCTCACAGGCCAATATCTGTCATGATTACCATCCAAGTTAACAACAAAGGATTTTCCCAACTTCAGTGTCGGGCTTGGTGAAGTACATCTGAGTAGGACGGTCTATCTTTGTAAAGAGCCTTTTTACAGGGCAAGGTGGTTAGACCAAAATCTCTTTTTACGTAAGGTGGTCTCCTCTTTTCACCCCAATATGCATAATGTCCGCGCCCCCAAAATATGACAAGGAACTTGCCTTACATTGTTTAGAAGTTGTTAAGACTGTCCGTTTACTTGGTAGCCATATCCTCCTTTCGCAAGATGAAGTGCCCTTTTTATTCTAGCTGGAGGTCCTCAGAACCACCTACTCTGAAGTCCACTATATATGCCAGGTGGATCAGACAAGTCATCTTGGGGACCTACTCCCTTAAGAAAAATGTTCCTCATTTTCCCATTAGAGCCCATTTCACCAGGGTTTTTGACATCTTCTAGTCTTTACATCAAGTATCTTTATCCCAGATATGCAAGTTTGACACCTGGTCCTCTGTTCACATGTTTATCAATATTTACCAGGTGGACATTCAAGCCTCGCCTGAATTGAGCCTCAATCTTTAGGTGCTTCAAATTGTTATCAGATTTCTGTGTTACCCACCCTTAAGGAGCTGCTATAACCCAAGAACTGACAGTTCCTGTGGCTGTGTCTCTGTAAAAGATGGCCGGAAGAACGTAGCAACATACTGTGTGTGTTCTCAGGGGAAGACAGGTTTACACACATCACTGGGGAGGCGTGACTCAGTTACCTCATCCTTCTGAGACCAAGTCCACATAGGAGGAAAATATGCCAGTTAAAACTGCTCACTTTAGAAGCATTAGAGACTAAATAAATGGGGTAACATAATAAAGTGAACAACCAAATTCTCTGACCACTAAACACCACAGTGTTTATGCCTTGCAGATAGTCCTTTTTAAAGCCTGTTAAGGTCCAGGTTTCGCACGTCAAAGTGGGCATACCCCCAAAGGGGTCTTCTGTGCCCTGGAACCATAGAAATTGATCACAGCCCTGTACATTACCTGTGTAACACTGCAGCTAACCTGACACATAGCACTTTGTGCAAATTGCCTGCTGCAGAAAGCAGTGCCCGAAGCAAGCATTTCTGGCCAGCTCCACAGTTGGTACCCAGGTGTGGTCTCAGAGGTACACACCAAGGGTAACCGATCTGCAATTTGGTAGGTAGTGCAATGCAATCTGATTCAGATGAACCAAAACTTAAAATTGTTTAAAAAAAAAAAAAAAAAAAAAAAAAAAAAGGAAAAATATCTTCAGGAGAACAGTTCAATCACTTGACTAGTAAAAAAACTGGAGCCTCACAATCACGCAATTCTAATCCCCATCGTAGCAACTTGTGATCTCAATAAAACAGCAGGGATCGGCAGGCTGAAGTAGCAGATCTCATGAAATTTCTAGCAAATGGCACATTTTCTAAAAATATATTTTAACCTTAAAGTACTGCATGAAGATAAAAGTTAATACACAAAAAAAAAAAAAAAAAAAAAAAAAAAAAAAAAAAACACTAATCCATCATTACCTTGTGTCCAGTGAAAATTCTCACACAGTTCCCATTTAAAACATCCCAAATTCGGACAGTTCTGTCTGTTGAACTAGTGGCTACATAATTAGAATTGGGATGAAAACGAGTACTTATAACATCTGCAAGATGGCCAGCAAATATACGTAAAGGCTGATAATGGTCTGTTGCCCATAAACTGTAAGAGACATGAGGAAAAAAAAAAAAAAAAAAAAAAAAATCAAGTGGATATGAAAATAAGGCACCAGTTATAATACCAAGACTGTTTGTCTTCCCTAAGTAAACTTTTAGAGAACGATCATCTACCCTGCTTGTCAAACCAGCCTCGACCTAATGTAAACCCCTCCAAGATGCATACAACACCTAAAACTCAATTTGCAGCCCATCGCATGGTTTACATTCTGCAGGCCATACTGTGTAAACTTTCAATGGTTGCATCTGTGCACTAGTTCCTCAGATTTCTATAGTGTCATCTATAAACGTCTGTGCAGACACTGCAAAAAAGATTTTCATGGCAGGATGTAAACATTGCAGCAAGTTGGAGGGATTACTGCAAGTATGCAGCAAAAAGGATAAGTGAGCTTTGTATGAAAGTGTATTTATCCTTGCACTGAATGCCAGCTATGATAAACAAACCTAATGGAATAGAAGGCAGTACTGACATGAGGATTAAAAAAAAACAAAAAAAAACAAAAACAAAAACAAAAACACAATAATAGAAATAACAGTAAACATTTACCGAGCAATTCTGTCATGGCCTCCAGACACAAAGTAATATCCATATGGAGAAAACTGAGCATCCCACACTGGATAGTTATGTCCTTTGTATGCCACTAAGCAGGTGAATGTCTGAAGACTCCATAAACGGACAGTGCCATCTTCTGAGCTTGATAATAAATAATTCCTAAAGCAGATATGAATTTAAAAAGATCAAAATTCAACAAATGACAGAATTAGACTGTAGATATAGTTAAATTTCACCAACAATTGCTCATCTTCCAAAAATTTAGGATACATAAATATATAAAAAGCATTGCACTTTAAAGATGCATTTATCCTATTAAAATATATTTCCTAGAAAGAGAATAATAAAACACCTACTGTACATACTAGGGATGACCCGATATTTCAGCCACCGAAACATATTAGTGGAAAATAGCCCTATAGGCATTTTGCCAATAGGAAAAATTGAGCCAATACAGGTGCAAGGCAGGAGAACAGTATATACAGTGACTGGCTGTCACTATATGTCAGTGGCGGTTTTTAAATGTAATTATCAGCTTTTTTCCTTCACTTCACTACAGCTCACAGAATTAGCTGTCACCCCCCCCCCCAGCTAAAAAACGGTTTCCTATTAGTTTCTTCCCGAGTTAAAAGAAACAACCTTTCCTTTTAGTTTCTTTCCGGAGATAAAAGAAACAAAGTTTCCTTTAGCTCAGGGAAAACGGACAGCCAATTCTGTGAGCTATAGTGGGGAAAGAAAAAAAAAAAAAAAAAAAAAAGCAATTGCATCTAAAAATCGTCCCCGACATACTGACAGCCAGTGAGGGAGCATCGCTGTATACACTGTTCGCTCACTGTAAAAACACTGCTCCTCTCCTGCCCCCTCCTCGCACACACTGCCCCCTACAAAGAGGACTATTGGTCCCCTGTGTGATAGCATAAAATCATAAGTTGGGGGGGGGGGGAATTGAAGCCTTTCCACCCCCACATACACAGATGTTTCGGCACCAGAATTTTCTTCATTTTGATGCACCACTAATATATACACACACATATATTGTATGTATATAAAAAATAGCTAACACTGGGGTATATGTTTAGCATTATAAATAGCAGAATTATTGGTAAGCCATCCCGGTTCTCCTTGTGGCACAAACACGCAGAATCCAGACCTGCAAAAAAATAGCAGCTGAAGACTTATGTACATACACAATATACAAACAGAAAAAAAAAAAAGTCACTTAGTTCAACAATTAAAAACTAACAATACAGACAAGAACATTTGGGTACAATTCCTGCTAGAAGGCGAAGATGACCTTTTGGACTTGTTCCCAGTGTAATAGATTGTTGATGCATACAAGCAGCTGCCTTTTGGCAAGTCTGGATTTTTCAAGCGCATCTAACATATTAAGGAAATTGGTAACCTCCAGTTAAGCCTACCTTTAATGCTGCATTTCCCATGGTGCTCGAAGCTAGAGAAAGAGCAATGATACAGAGAAGCCTTGACACAACATCCACAGATATTTGCAAACTTTCTTCTCCAACAAAATGAAAGCTATTACAGATTAATCTTTGCCAGGTTGGGCTGAGTGTCTGAGAATTTTGTACTGTATTGTGCTAAATGAGATTTATAATCTCACATCATTCTGCCCATATTTAAAATGGGTCAAACAGCTGCCTTTTTTATTTTTATTCAATTAGAAAGCATTTTCACTTCAGGGGAAGTGAATCCCAATCATGAGTTGTGTCAAGACCAACAGACACTTATGAAATGTTAGTTTATATTAAAATGTATTTACCCCTCATCCTCCCCACCAGCACTGTAAAAGTAACACCATTTCCTACCTGTCTGGACTGAAACTGGTTGCATAGACAGGTCCACTGTGACCATATAAAACCTTTATCTCGCTTGATGTTTTTTCATCCATAATTCTTTCTAGAACGTCATCTGATTCTTTGTCTATCAAGCTGAGATCTAATGAAGAAAAGGTTTATTAGAAGTAAAACAGTTTAAAAATCTTTAACAAACATTTTAATACAAGGCAAAAGGATTCCCACACTCTATGGGCTACATACAAAAGGCAGCACAGCCTTCCTGTCTCACTTTGACAAAAGTTACCCCGAGACACCTAATAAAAGATAGGTCACTGAAAGAAGAGCGGCAGTCCTGTGTTTAAGTTACAGCTTGAGCTATGGTGCCTGTAAAAAAAAGTATTCTGTGCTACAGACTGCTAAGCAATCTAGACAAAATGGGAAAAACACTAGCTACAAAATTACCATAAATATGCAGTATTATCCTTACGAAAACAAAAAAAAAAAAAATTCATGACCATAATAAAGAACATTATTCATTTACGAGCGGGAGGGGGGGGGGGGGGGGGGGGGGGATGGGTGGTAGTTGGTAAACAGCCACATGTATTCAACACTCCCAGATGTGTCTGAATGAAGCTAAAGAATCTAATGGTGCAAGAATGTGAAAACTGAATTCAATTGAGGTGCTAAACAGTATGTATTAAGAACGTTTTTTTAACTATACTTGCTGACATTTCCGAGGCAGCATTGGCAGGTCTCTATAACAGATATGGGTGTAGGTCACTGAGGACAATGACCCAACTCAAGACCCGGCAGTCTGTGGTGAAGCTGACTACAATAGATGGTGCAGTAGTGTGATACACTTCACCTGTATACAGGCAGTCAATGGCAGGTTGGATTTTTGTGCAGACAGTGAGGACAAGAATAGTGACACTAATGATACCGAGTGTGTGTGTGTTAGTGCATCATAATGAAGGAATTAACTCAATGGGCACACCCATTCAGGAAACGGGCATCATCTCCTCATACTGGCTTAGAAATACATTAAAAAAACAAAAAAAAAAAAAAAAAAAAAAAAAAACACCCCACACACATCTGAACTGTCAAATGAAAACAGACTTTTTTGCTACAGAAAGACCTTTGGACCACTGACCAGAATTAGTAAAATCAGTGATTACCGACACAAAACAAACAGAAAAAAATTACCAGCTGTGTTTTTGACACTTCTAAGTTTTTTTGGTGTGAGACTCCACACACGCACGGTAGAATCTGAAAACCCTCCTGCGATCATGCTGGAATCATCTGTAACATCCACTGCGGTTAAACCCTTCACAAACCAAAGACTTGTGTCAGAAAGACAATGCATAATCAGGCTAAATTCACACAGGCCACACAAACAGCTGTAAAAACAAGCAGTTAAATTAGGTGTTTCAACTACCCCAAACTGCCCACCCTAAGCCAAGATGCTTCACAGTGCAGCAAATTTTAACTCTGCATGTCAAGCTTAGCAAGTGATGTTGCTTGCCAAACCCACCCATTGAAGTCATTGTGCTGTAACCACATAACAAATGCAGCATTTCAAAGTGGAATGGATGACAAAAAAAAAAAAAAAAAAAAAAAAAAAAAAGGCATTCAGGAGGAGGTGACAGTACTGTCTCCGGAATACCTGCAAACCAGCTCTAATCGGCCTCTGAAAAAGTAATCCACTATGGATCGCTTCTCAGAAAGGCAATAGAGCCTGAAACCCATGTGAAAGAGGCCTAAGGGTATAGAAGTAAACACAGATTCAATTTACCCATAACATGGCATCTAGTGGAAGATTTAACTTCATACCTGGTAAGCATTAAGGAATGAGTAGAAACAGATTGAGGGCAGTGAATCAGGAGCAAGGCGAACCCGTTTGGCAGCTTCCTTCATAATCATGATTTTATCAAGTTTGTCAGAATCCTTTAGCTCTGGAAGAGGAATCCTAATATTTAAATTAAAAAAGTCATTTAACAAAACTTTGTTCCATAGTGTACATAACTGCAAACAGCTCTGTAGTTAACATTCAACTTGGTCATTACAAAATTGAAAAGACAATATTAGTGGAGCAATGTATTCGTTAAAGCTTAAATCTTCCACCTCCAATACAACTCCCCTCCCCTTTCCCCAGCCACAGTAATCTGTAGTGTGACAGGGGTTAGTAGAATAAGGGGCTGTGACAGGCATTCAAAGTATACCAGACTGTCTGCCCATTCCACCCAGCTGCTTCATTCATACAAGTCATACTACAGTGTCCATGAATGAAACAGGATCTATGAACAGAGGACGGCGGATCACTGATAGGTCCTCCCCTCCAATCATAGACCATGTTTTTATTCATAGAAGCTGTAGTAATGGAATGGGGCAGGCATAGTCTGGCACTCTTGAGTGCCTATCACAGGTGGGGGTGAGGAGCAACATTAGAGGGGTAAGATTTCAATGAAGGATGGACACAGCAGCACAATGTAGGTTAATTTAAGAATATGTAAGCCCAACATTTCAGATCCCTGATATGTGCCTTCTATACCATGTGCTTGTATGAAAAAATATCCTGTTATCTTTGTATTTTGTCATTTGTGTGAAATCGCTGGTGTTCCTGCCAGTCCCTCTGCTTTCCTATTAAAAATTGCTGGGAACTCAGTCTGCTCTGCAAGGATCAGACTTCTGCTGACACACCCCTCCAGCACAGCCATTCACTGGGAAGATCAGTGTGCTGCTGCTTCTCCTCATCTCTCTATACAGCTGAGACATTATGTCATCACTTTTAAAAAAGGGTATTTAATATGTATACATAAATGCTTTGATTTTCATTTGTATTTTAAACTGAATGGGTTGTTTTACAAGGTAAGGGTTTGCATACAGTACTTTAAGCAAATCATCTTATCGTTTCCCTAAACCTGTTTTCTTGAAAACACAACTAGCATGTATAGCTGAATTTGACTTTGTATCAAACTCTACTATCACTTTTACAGAAGCATTCAGACTGGGGCAGGGAACAGCAAGACAGGGAGCCAATCAGGTGTGCTGCATGCAAGCATGTTGACAATGTACATGCTGACAGGCAAGAGTAAAGATAACCTCATCAGTCTGCTGCTGTGGGGTGGAAAAGACATTACTGTATTCTCCAACTGTCAGTGATGTCATGCACCTGAATGAGCTGTGTTATAGGACTGTGTATATCCCACAGTCCTACAAATATTTTAGCAGCTTAAACTTCTCCACTTAGACATATTCCATCGGTGTTCAGCTGTAACATCTACTGCTGACAACCACTCAATAGTATGTGTGCTGAATTTTCTGGACATAGATATAACCTGTGTGTCAGTAAAACTTAATGAATTAAAAAAAAAGGGGTGAGGGGTGGGGAGCTTACTTCCTCTGAAATTCTTAGATCCTTTTCATCATTTGGAATCTGCTCAAGAAACCGTACCTTAAATATTTTACCATTTACATACCTGTTCTGAGGTGGTGCATTAGGGTCTTGTTTCTTGCTTTTTGAGCCTATGCTGTCCTTTTTTGGCTTCTTTTTCTTTGGCTTTCCTTCTTCGTTTTCACCTTCTTCATCTTCATCATCTAAAGGGACTTCAATCTCTGGTTCTTTCAGAAGGCCAAAAAACACCTACAAAATGAAGTCAACATTTAGAGCAGCAGCTTATACCTGGACACAGCTACCGCCAAGAGGCTTGCTGTGTTCATATATTTCATCTGATTGAAGTACACACCTTGACTTTGTTTGCTTCACGCTTGGCTTCCCCAGACAGGCTGCCCACCATAGCATCTATCTGTTGTTTGCTACGTGGCATGCCATCAAATATATCAATGTACAAGTGTTCTTGTACTATGCTCCATATCTGATTGTTCTGCCTCTCCTGTAAATGGCGCTTAAGTAGCTGATAGGAGTCCCGGGATATTCTTAGCACAAACTTGCTTGTTCGAAAGTCTAACATGGTCTCATTTCCTTTCATATGCTCCTTCTTTGTGAGGCTAGCTAAAATGCGGAGATCATCTTCATAGTAACATTCCTGGTCCCCATGGAATCTTTAAAAGAAATTGTTACAGGTTATCTACATATTTAATTCTAAGCATACATTATAAATGGAAATTTACTTAAACTCAAAATGAAATCTACTGATTTTTTTTCTCAATATATTTCAGAGCAAGAAAATGTTACGTTACCAGTGCTAAAATTACTGTGTGTAAACACATGCACTGCAATAACATTTTGTGCACGAGCGCCATTCAAAGCACCCCCAACACACCTTCCCAGGGTACCTACTCTGCACTACCAAAAGTGCTAAATGGACAGGTTTGGTCTGTTGTGCTGCACTGGGCGACCCATTTAAATGAATGGGCTACCCTAATGCAATACACCTCAGCAAGCTGGCCTGGTGTGAATGGACCCTTAAAAGAATAATTACATTTGTACTTCTGGTGGTGTTGCTTTCACTACATAGCACAATCATCGCAGAGCGAATAAGCAACCTTAAAACCTATAAATCCTGCATAATTTGTGCACCTCTAGACCAGCATTCAAAAAGGCATAGTCCACCTTTTTGGGGAAAAAAAAAAAGAAAGTATACATATACACACACTAACATATACACACACTATCTATATCTATCTCTATATATATATATATATATATATATATATATATATATATATATATATATATATATATATATAAAATCAGTCTAAAAATTTAATGGTATGTGTATCGTAACAGACAGAATAGCAACGAAAAAATTCAAAAGAAATGCAAGTCTAACAAATTATGCACTGATTTGCATGTTCGTGAGGGAAATAAGTATTTGATCCCCTATCATTCAGCAGGATTTCTGACTACCCGGTGTCCTTTATACAAGTAAAAAGCTTAGATTAGAAGCAGTCTCTTAAAGGGAGTGCTGCTAATCTCATTTTGTTACCTGTATAAAAGACACCTGTCCACAGGAGCAAACAAACAAGCAGATTCCAAACTCTCAACCATGGCAAAGACCAAAGAGCTGTGTAAGGATGTCAGAAACAAGATTGTAGACCTACACAAGGCTGGACTGGGCTACAAAACTATCACTAAGCAGCTTGGTGAGAAGGTGACAACAGTTGGTGCAATCATTCGCAAAGGGAAGAAACACAAAACAACTGTCAGTCTCCATAGGTCTGGTGCACCATGCAAGATTTCACCTCGTGGAGGGAGAATGATCATGAGAACAGTGAGGAATCATCCCAGAACTACACGTGAGGATCTTGTCAATGATCTCCAGGCAGCTGGGACCACAGTCACCAAGAAAACAATTGGTAACACACTACGCCGACAAGGATTGAAATCCTGCAGTGTCCGCAAGGTCCCTCTGCTCAAGAAAGCACATGTCCAGGCCTGTCTGAAGTTTGCCACTGAACATCTGAAGGATGCAGAGGAGGACTGGTTGAAAGTGTTGTGGTCAGATGAGACCAAAATCGAGCTCTTTGGCATCAACTCAACTCGCCGTGTTTGGAGGCGGATGAATGCTGCCTATGACCCCAAGAACACCATCCCAACTGTCAAACATGGTGGTGGAAACATTCTGCTTTGGGGTGTTTTTCTGCTAAGGGCACAGGACAACTGCACTGCATCAAAGGGATGATGGAAGGGGCAATGTACCGTCAAATCTTGGAGTGAGAAAATGGGTCGTGGATGGGTGCTTCAATTCCAAAACTCAGGGGCATTCAAGAAGAAAAAGGTCCTGCAGTGGCCTAGCCAGTTGACCTTAATCCAAAATCTTGCCAAAAAAAAGTTTATCATCACCAAACCTTAATGACTTGGAGAGGATCGCCAAGAGGAGTGGGCCAAAATCCCTCCTGAGGTGTGTGCAAACCTGGTGGCCAACTGCAGGAAACGTCTGCCCTCTGTGATTGCCAACAAGGGATTTGACACCAAGTATTAAGTCATGGTTTGTGAAGGGGATCAAATACTTATTTCCCTCATGAACATGCAAATCAGTGCATAATTTCTTAGACATGCATTTCTTTTGAATTTTTACATTAGAGCCTGCAGAGCACTAAATGGAGATGAATGGATTGTAAGTGCAATACAAAGGCATATGCAGACTCTTCCTCCAGCCCAGATCTGCACAGAGGTAGGACCCGCCCTTATGAAGCTGAAGAAGGCATCAATAGATATAAGTAGAGTGACATCATCACCCTTGCAAATCATCACCACCTATTGAAATCTAAGTGTCCTTTTTGCACAGTGGCAGGTGGAACTTGTAGTCTTCCTTTCACAAATCCTGTGAATGGATGACGTGGCTGTGCAGGCGGTCACAAGCAGGCACGAAAATTCAAAAGATATGCTTTACGGAGAAGAAACCAGAGATTCGATGTTGGGTGGTTTGAGAAGAGTGGACTGGGGAATGTCACCATGTTTCATGGTAAACACTAAATATGGGTCATGGGCTTAGCATTAATTTTTCATATCTGAACTGGAGTTTTTTTTATTAAGTGTTCTTGCATGGCAAGACCACTTACTGTTATCTCATATATATATATATTATTATAGCCAAATTTACCACCCTAACTCCTCCCACAGTTTTTTACACTACATAGACAGTAATATACCGAAACGTGCGGATTGTTCCCGTTGGTGTGCTATTACTTTGCGGAACGTTTCGCCGAATGGTTCACGAAATATCGGCGTTTTTGTGGTGAAATTGGTCCCATAGGAATGAATGGCGGAATGCTCAAGACTAGAGTGGGAGCTGACAAAAGCTAGAGTGTGAGCTGAAAAATCAGGACATGATTTCTAAACTGCCATCACTCATTTTCAAGCCCACCTACACAAATCTTATATCAAAACGTTCAGCTATCCCTGCTGCCACTAAAAATGTCCATGGTTAAGCCATAGTCCTGATAGTTTTCACAATATGACCATTTGTTTCACATTGTTTGACTCACGCCGCCCATTGACATTCATTGAAACTCCACTCTAGCCACCTCAAATTTGAAGGGCAATTTCTAAACTGTGACTGTGCCTTCATTTTTAATATTTCAGAGACATACTATGCATCAAAATGTCGGTCTGGCTCTTGTGATTCTCACAATATAAAAGCTCTTCAGTGTAGGATTTATAATTTTTAAACTACAACCGTTTGAAGATGGCAACCGCCAGTGAAGTGAGCAGGTTGGAGCAGTTTGTTTTTAACGTTCTTCTCTGCCCTTGCTGTAGAGTGAGTTGCCATAGGAACCCAGGTGTGTGAGCAGGCAGCAGAGTGACAAAAGCTAGAGTGTGAGCTGAAAAATAAAAGTGAAATGAAATGCATTTCTCACTATCAAGCTTGCCATGTGCACTTTTTAAATTTGATCAATTGGTTAGTGTAATGTTTTTACTATCTTTACTCACTCACTCCCCCCCCCCCCCCCCCCCCCCGCACACGGTTACTCTGCCCAGTCCAACCTTTTCAGTTACTCCAGCCACTCCAACCACACAATAGCTACTCAAGCCACTCCACCCACTTACTCCACCCACTCCAGTTGTAGACTACTGGTGGAGGCAAGAACACTTCACACAATTTCCCCAGAAATTGTAGCTTTTCTAGTTAACTATAATTTTATAGTAGAGCCCAACTGCAATTTGATTTAAATATCAGAAAATTAAAGCTGGTCAGAGCTACTGCCTCAGGAAACCCACTGGCATGCCTTGGACAACATTGCTCACTTTTCAAAGAAAGATTTGGCTTCATTTTCATGCTGATTGTAGACCAGCTCCAGGTACATGTGCACAAAGAGAGGGTAGAATAACTGAGATAACTCTGCACGATGACAGTCCAGTACAGACTCAATGAATCTTTTTAGGCCGCTGTAATATTCCTCATACAGAGCTGGATCTCCTTGCTGGGTGTAAGCGGACAGAACAGCACTGACATCGGGCTGGTCCTGTGGGCCACTATTCAATGCAACTGAAAAGAAGAAAAAAAAAAATATCTAGTTTATTGATAACTGAAAAAAAGCAACAGTAGATTTTAACTTGTCTATAAACACAATTACTAATATGAATTCCTTTGAATATATCTTTCATTTGCAAGTCATGAAACAATTTAATGCCTCTGCTTATAATACAGACAAAATCTCAACTTCTAAGTAAACTCAGTGTACAGTATATCTACTTAGAAGTACAAATGCAAAGTATTTAGGCCCCATTTACACCTGCGAATAAGGCGGTTACCGATTACATGCTGGAAACCCGGGGGCATTCCAGCTTATTAACTGCAGGAGGCCCCATGGTAAGCAAAAAAGGCTGACGGTTCCCATAGTCAATCATGGTTACATGTAATCGCCCATGGACCAATTACCTGTGATGTTCAGCTCTGGGCCATTTGCATTGCACAAATACACAGTTCAGGGTACAGATCTGACATCTGCAAAGATGAATCAACTCCCACACATATACAGGAGTGACATCTTCTAGGCCTGGGCAACCAAAACATAGATGAAGATCAGACGCTGCTTCACAATGTGTAAATGAGCCCTAAAGGAGATCACGTGGGGGAATTTACTAAAACTGGAGCGTGCAAAATCTAGTGCAGCTCTGCATAGAAGGCAATCCACTTCCAGGTTTTATTGGCAAAGCTTAACTGAACAAGCTGAAGTTAGCAGCTGCATAGCACCAGATTCTGACTGCTCCAATTTTAGTAAATCTCCCATTGTGTGCCCTCCATGGGGGATGGGGGGGATGGGCCGGACGCCCGCCCGCCCTCCATGGGGGAGATGGCCGGACGCCCGCCCACCCTCCATGGGGGAGATGGGCCGGACGCCCGCCCGCCCTCCATGGGGGAGATGGGCCGGACGCACGCCCGCCCGCCCTCCATGGGGGAGATGGGCCGGACGCCCCGCCCTCCATGGGGGAGATGGGCCGCACGCCCGCCCCCCTCCATGGGGGAGATGGGCCGGACGCACGCCCGCCCTCCATGGGGGAGATGGGCCAGCCTGTGACCACCACAAAGTAGACTGTATATTGTATGTCTGGCTCTCTCCTCCTCACTCAGGTCCTCCGTGTGATTCTCGGTCTTTGGGAGGTGACCCCGGTTCTCTCCGGTGCGGTGTGTGGACGGACATCGGACAGTCAGCCCCCCGATCCTCTCACCTTTCACGGCGGTGGTCGGGGCTCCCCCGGTGGCGGTGGTGGAGGAGATAGCGGCGCTCCCGGCAGTGACCCGGCTCAGCAGACTGTGTTCGCCGCTGTCCGGCTCTCCGGTGGTCGGCTGCCCGCTGGGGCTGAGGGCCGGGCTCTCCTCGGGCTCCAGAAAGCCGCATTCCCGGCGGAGTATGTCGGCGGACTCCCGCAGATTACTCTTCTTGAGGAATTGCAGGACGGCCAGCAGCGTCTGTCGGTCCGGAGCCTCCGGGGTGGTGACCGGGGGGGCCAGCGGCGGGCTGGCGGCCTTCGGAGAGACGCCATGGCCGTTCCCCAACGTCGGCTCCTCGGTAATGGGCACCGACAGGCTCTCGCTCTTCACCTCCTCCAGGAGCTCGGGCTCCGTCTTCACCGAGGTGCTCGCCTCGTCTGGCACCGCCGCCATCTTGGAGCGGGAGTTTATTCTTTACGACGTCGCGTTTTACGGCACCGTAGGCGGGGCCCTGAAGGTTTCCGGGAGATTGAGAACGATAGTCCTGGCAGCGCGATTTACGGCAATCCTACAACGATTCTTATTTACCGTACCGATCGTTATTTTCAGAATAGACCAGTCATAACTGAAAAAGGACGCTCAGTATAGAACACAGCACGTGTTTTGTTACCTCACCATCTCAACCTGTTTCCTGTAATGGGCAGGCGGCACTATTATTATTATACAGGATTTTATATAGCTCCAACAGTTTGCTCAGCGCTTTACAATATAACAGGAGACAATACAGCAACAATACTGATCCTTGGAGCTTATGGCACTATTTGATAAGGCATTGTTTACTCCTATTGACACTAGACTAGGAGTGTTTTAATCTTATTGGCACCAGTCCGGCACCCCCCCCCCCCCCCCCCCAGCAAAGTCTAAAGGACAATATACTGGCCCTTTGTTTAGAAAGTTTGGAGACCCCTGAGTAAGAGGGATGAGACAAACCATTTACCACTTGCAGGCATGCCTCTAATAATCAGCTTTTATTTATTTATTTAAAACCTTCATCACAAAAGGAGAAAAACTTGCCTTAACCAAGTATAAAGTATTAGCTGGAGTTTGTTCAGTTTGTTCGTGTATCTAAATCTGCTAGTACACCCTACACTTCCCTCCCCTAGACTGACGAAGGTGCCCCCTATGTTCCTTCATCCAGAGTGAGGGGACTCTAATACCAGAACTGTGTCTTGCCAGACCACCAGGTGAAAAAGCCTAAAATGAGAAAACCAATGCAGCTACAACATCTAATGATTGGTAAGCTGCTATGTATTACATTCTTGATTTGGGGTTTAATACCCCTTTAACCACTTTCCATCCGGCCCATGTATATAAACGGCCAGACGGGAGCAGTACAGGGGCGGGTGGCCGTTTCTAAATGTCCTCCCCGCTTCCCTGCTTGTGGTTATAAACTAATTTGGGTTATTCTTTTTTTTTACTAAAAAGATAACTGAATAAATTGTGGCCAAGAATTATGAAGAAAGATTATTTATTTGCAAAATGTTATAAGAAAAACATTTTTTTAAAAAAAAATTGTGGACTTTTTCATTTATATAGCAAAACAAATAAAAATCCCAGTGGTGAATAAATACCACCAAAATAAAGTTTTATCTGTCTCAAAAAAATGCTAAAAAATTCATATGGGTACAGTGTTGCATGACCGTGTAATTGTTATTCAAAGTATGATAGCACTGAAAGCTGAATATTGGCCTGGACAGGAAGGGGGTAAAAGTGTCCGGACTGGAAGTGGTTAAGTCCAAGAGAGAAGACAAAGATAGAGGAAGTGATAAGTGGCTCCACTGTCTGCTAGGAGGACTAAAGGTCACTTTCTTGAAGAGCTTAGCATTCTAGAGTCTTCAGGATCAGACACTGCAGGGCTGTGAGATAGCGGGCCATCTCTGCACTCTGTGGACACAGTAAGGGCTGGTTCACCCCCGGATCGCACAGAAGTGCAGCACAAATTCCTGTGCAATTCCTTTGCATTCCCGTGTGGTGCGACGATTTCACAGCTCATTTATTTGAATGTACTACTAAAAAACATGCTGCACCAATTCACATGATACTGTGGTACCGTGCAATCTGGTGCCTGCAAATGCACCGCGTTTGCGATCTGCGTTTGGGGTGCTGCTAACATTACCTTGGCACCTGTAGTAGATTAAAAGGCAATGCTTTTTGGGTACAGTATGTGAAATGCATACAGAACGCACCTTTCCAGCACCATACTGTGGTGTGAACTGGCCCTAATAACATAGAGGCTGGAGCTCTTTAACATGCTAAAATAATGCTCTTCATACAGTAGTAAGAACATTGCAGTAAATCTTATAAACACCCTCATATGTATATCTAAAAATCCTTTAGGCACCGTTCACATCTGGCGTTTTGGGATCTCAGACACAATCGCTGCAATTCTGCCTGTGATCTCAAAATGCACCGCAATAGTGGCAAAACGCACCATGCGTGTTCAGGTGCCATTCTTTACCAATGGCACCTAAATGTGGTGCAGTTCTACTGCGATAAATGGCGCTCCAATCGTGGAAATCCGCATCGTGCAAACCTTGTCGCTCAATGGCACCAATTATCAATGGCATCGCGTTTAGGTGCCATTGAAAATGAACATTACCTGAACAATCAAGGGAGAACTGCACTGCATTTGGGTGTCATTGATAATGAGTGGCACCTGAACGCATGTGGTGTGTTTTTTACCACTATTGCAGTGTGTTTTGAGATCCCAAAACGATGTGAATGGGGCTTTAAGGGAAAAGATATTGGGGTTGATTTCCTAGAGCAGTAATCGCCAAACTTTCTAGACCATGGTGTCAAACTGGCGGCCCTCCAGTTGTTGCCAGACTACAAGTCCCATGAGTCATTGCAAGATTGAAAGTTACCAGCATGACTCCCAAAGGCAGCGTCTTGATGGGACTTGTAGTTTCGCAACAGCTGGAGGGCCACCAGTTTGACACCCATGTTCTAGACAAAGGGCTAGTTTACTGTCCTTTAGACTTGAGGGGGCTGGACTGTGACCTTTGAGAGTAGAAAAAGTCCTGATGTCAGTGGAGTAAAAACAATGTCCCATCTTTGGTGTCAGTGGGAGGAATTGTGTCCCATCAGTGGTGTCATTGAACCCCATTGTTGGTGTCATTGGGAGAAATTGTGACCCATCATTGGGAAGAATTGTGCCTCATAATTGGTGTCATATGGAGAAAAAGAATCCCATCATTTGTAGGAAAAGCATCCCATCATTTGTGTCAGTAGGCGGAATTATGCCCTATCATTGGTGTCAGTGGGCCCCATTGTTGGTGTCATTGGGAGAAATTGTGCCCCATCGTTGGTATCATTGGGAGGAATTGTGCCCCATCATTGGTGTCAGTGGGGGGAATTATGCACCACTGTTGGTATCAGTGGATGAAATAGTGCCCCAAGGGCCAATTAAAAGAAAGCAAACCGCCACATCTGGCCCTCGGGCCACAGTTTGGAGACCACTGTCCTGGAGGGAAATAGACTGTTCATTTTGCAAAGGAATTTTTACTTTGCAAGGGGATTTTCCCCTATCTTAGTGAATACCATACAGCTCTGCTGACTTCCATCATCCATTCATGTGCAAGCAATAATACTATTTTTAAAAAAAAAATTTTTTCCTTGCACGTTGGGCATTCTTTTCAGAGTGAAATTGCACCACATTCAGTGAGCTAAGGGACAATTCCTTATAAAGTAAAAATTCTCTAGCAAAATTAACAGCCTGTTCAGTTTTAATTAATCAACCCCATTGCGTTCTGATAAATGTATACAGTTACTATATATAATGTATTCAAAATATTTTTTTTTGAATTCCATACTTTATTCCTGTTTTTCTTCCCATTAAATGCAGACCAAAGGGTTCAGAAAATGGGATTGGGACAATCTAATACTGCCAGGGGTAACCAGCAGACCTCTTATACATCAGCAATGATTGGCCAGATTCATAATACAGCAGCAATGCCCTTCACTGAGCAGAGCTTCCTTGTAGCACGTAGGGGTAGGGAGTTTATGTAGAGGGAGGGGGGAGGACACTATGAAGCAGCACTGTATTATGGGTAAGAAGGAAGCTGGGGATGATTCTGGATATATCATGGCACAGTGCTCTAGGTACGTCTCTGCTGCGTGTTTGTTGCTCTAGGTACGTCTCTGCTGCGTGTTTGTTGCTCTAGGTACGTCTCTGCTGCGTGTTTGTTGCTCTAGGTACGTCTCTGCTGCGTGTTTGTTGCTCTAGGTATGTCTCTGCTGCATGTTTGTTCATATGAATGATCAGTGGATTGTGTGATTCCTGAGGTCTTATAAAAACAATCACAATGTATTTTGAAAGAAATACTAAATTTGTGAACAGCAGACTGAAGAATCAGAATGTGTATGACGTGTGTATGATAGGACAGGATACGTCTGTTGGTTTAAAGGGTACACCTACTTATCACATTAAACTCAGGAGAACCAGTTTAACATTTAAGAAGAAGTATTAATAACGACACAAATCAAACTGGATCTGATTACTTTAAAAGTATGAACTAAAGATTACTTGGAAAGCGCTGACATTACAGTATAACTAAAGGCAAAACTGATTTTTTTTTCCAGTTTTGGACAGAGATGGATTAGAACAGCGGTTCTCAACCTGGGGGTCGCGACCCCTTTGGGGGTCGAACGACCATTTCCCAGGGGTCGCCTAAGACCATCGGAAAACACATATTTCCGATGGTCTTAGGAACCGAGACACCGCTGCAGTCTCCGGCGATGTGTGGGCGGGATGATACACTGCTGTCACCCGGCCACACCTCCAAGATCGCTCAGCAGCTCCGCCTCCTCGCCGCTGATTGGCCACCGGAACTGTAGCTCAGGAGAGGCACACAGGCGGCCAATCACCGGCGAGGAGGTGGAGCTTGGAGAGGAGGAGCCAAGCGGCAGCGCGCGGACATCAAAGAAGACCGAGGGAGCGAGTGAAGAGGAGAGCGGCCAGAGAAGGAAGACAGCTGACAGGTAAGTGAGAGAGCGAGCCCAGGCTGGAGCAGGGGTCAGCAAGGTAAGTATCATTGGTGTCAGTGGGAGGAATAGTGCCCCCATCATTTGTGTCACTAATACCAACAACGATGGGGCACTATTCCTCCCCCCACTGACACCAACGATGGGGCACTACTCCTCCCCCCACTGACACCAACGATGGGGGGCACTATTCCTCCCCCCCACTGACACCAACGATGGGGCACTATTCCTCCCCCCACTGACACCAACGATGGGGCACTATTCCTCCCCCCACTGACACCAACGATGGGGCACTATTCTCCCCCCACTGACACCAACGATGGGGCACTATTCCTCCCCCCACTGACACCAACGATGGGGCACTATTCCTCCCCCACTGACACCAACGATGGGGCACTATTCCTCCCCCCACTGACACCAAC